CGGTCTCCCACAGTATTCTTGTCAGCAAGTTAAAGAAGTATGGGCTGGATGAATGCACTATAAGGTGGGTAGAAAGCTGGCTAGATTGTCGGGCTCAACGGGTAGTGATCAATGGCTCCATGTCTAGTTGGCAGCCGGTGTCAAGTGGAGTGCCCCAGGGGTCGGTCCTGGGGCCGGTTTTGTTCAATATCTTCATAAATGATCTGGAGGATGGTGTGGATTGCACCCTCAGCAAATTTGCGGATGATACTAAACTGGGAGGAGTGGTAGATACGCTGGAGGGGAGGGATAGGATACAGAAGGACCTAGACAAATTGGAGGATTGGGCCGAAAGAAATCTGATGAGGTTCAATAAGGATAAGTGCAGGGTCCTGCACTTAGGACGGAAGAATCCAATGCACCGCTACAGACTAGGGGCCGAATGGCTAGGCAGCAGTTCTGCAGAAAAGGACCTAGGGGTGACAGTGGACGAGAAGCTGGATATGAGTCAGCAGTGTGCCCTTGTTGCCAAGAAGGCCAATGGCATTTTGGGATGTATAAGTAGGGGCATAGCGAGCAGATCGAGGGACGTGATCATTCCCCTCTATTCGACATTGGTGAGGCCTCATCTGGAGTACTGTGTCCAGTTTTGGGCCCCACACTTCAAGAAGGATGTGGATAAATTGGAGAGAGTCCAGCGAAGGGCAACAAAAATGATTAGGGGTCTGGAACACGTGATTTATGAGGAGAGGCTGAGGGAGCTGGCATTGTTTAGTCTGCAGAAGAGACGAATGAGGGGGGATTTGATAGCTGCTTTCAACTACCTGAAAGGGGGTTCCAAAGAGGATGGCTCTAGACTGTTCTCAATGGTAGCAGATGACAGAACGAGGAGTAATGGTCTCAAGTTGCAGTGGGGGAGGTTTAGTTTGGATATTAGGAAAAACTTTTTCACTATGAGGGTGGTGAAACACTGGAATGCGTTACCTAGGGAGGTGGTAGAATCTCCTTCCTTAGAGGTTTTTAAGGTCAGGCTTGACAAAGCCCTGGCTGGGATGATTTAACTGGGAATTGGTCCTGCTTCGAGCAGGGGGTTGGACTAGATGACCTTCTGGGGTCCCTTCCAACCCTGATATTCTATGATTCTATGATTCTAAATCAGTCTGACCCAGGTCACCAAGTACTCAGGACCCAGGTCCTAGGCCCACCATAGAGAGGTGGGTCAGAGCCCAAATCCCGATGTGACTCAAGTCTAAGCCCTGTCATTTTGTAGTGTGGTTGCAGCTTAAGCCACAGACCCAAGTCAGAAGGGCTGCGTCGTGCAGTGTGGACACCCTACCATGGCTGGGAGACTCGTTTCCAGTGACTGTGAACCCACGTTTACAATGCAGTCTGGACACTCAAGTGCAGGCTTGGAAACACTGGGTTTCCAGTGCAGTGTAGAGCTGGGCTTTGTGGCACTTTACACAAGAGCAGGGCTGTTAGCCCCACTGTCCTAGCCAAAGCCCAATGCTGGGAACCCTGGGTGCACCCCTCTGCCGTTTCAGTAACACACCGAATTCTGCTTCGCTTCCTGCCCTAAACTGGCATGTAGACTTGCTGGGCACTGTCAAACAGCTGCTGCCTTCGGCTGGGTGACATGAGTCCTATACCCAGGCTAGGCCTGCAGGCCAGAGGAAAGCCTGCTGGCTAACAGGGAAGGAAAGCATTTCGCAGGAGCTGCTTCCTCCCCTCCACTGGGGACCTGCCGGCCAGCAACACTGCCTCAAAGGGGGCTGGGGGATGTGTTGATTTTGTGCCACCTCTGTCAATGGGGCTTCAGCTCGGGCACAACATACACGGGCTCCCCCAGGAAGGGTTGTGGTAGAAACACTGGGGGTGGAGCCCTGCCCCGGGAGAGCAGCCAGTCTGACTCCAGCTTCTGGATTCTACGGTGACTCCTAGGGGCTTAGACAGCAGAAACACAAATGTCTCCATAGCCATTGTATACCCCAGAGTCACGGCACCTCTGACATGTATACAGCTCCCTCCAGCCTTCCACAGAGCTACGGGGCACACATACCCCCCACTGAAATGCAGCCACCTCTGGAGAGGAACACAGCAGCTGTTTAACAGCCACAGTTTGGGACAGCTAGTTGTGGACGGCAGGGCTCACAGTTCCAAGCAGAGTGAGCTGGGTATCCCTCAGAGCTTCTCTTTGGGCTACAGGTTCAAATCCCACCAGGACAGGTAGGGTGGGTAGATCACTTTGTCTCAGCAACTCAGCCTCTGATCGCAGTGAGTTTGCCAGCAATTTGCCACAGGGAGGACTTGGGGCGGGATGTACACCAGGCTCCGTAGCTGCTTTGCTGTCTGGTTGGGAATTGTCCCGACCATGCACAAGGTCCTTTGTGGCTGTTCTCACTACTCCTGTCTCGGTCCAGGTGTCTGTCCTGTCCTGCCCTCCATGGGAGGGTAGGAGCTGGGCGGGGGCCGGGGGAGTGATCTTCCCTCTTTCCCGGCCTCCTGAGACTCTGTCATGGGAACAGCGGGTATATTTCTTAAATGCATGTCCCCAAGACGGGGTGACCTAACGCTGGCCCAGAATCCTTTGCATCGGCTGTACCCTACTGCAGCAGAAGTGACTTGCCAGCTGGAGCAAAGACTTTGGGTCCCATCTGAGACCCGACAGTGCTGTCTGTGCACGAATGATCCCTCTTAGTCCTAGGCTCGGGCTGAGCTGGGATTATGAACCAACCCAGACTAGGCCGCACTGAGGGTGACTAGGCACTGGGGCGGGTGTGGGGAGGCAGCTGACGTCTCCTGGCATATATCCCACCCCAAGTCCTCCCTCTCCAGTGGTATTTGCCTGCTCTTCTCAGTGCCCAGTGCTTCTAGCAACAGTGCCTTCTGCTGTGTCTGGGGCAGACGCACATGCCCGAGGGGTTAGATAGGCCTAGAATAAACCTGACAAAGGTAAGGCTCATTATCCTGAGGGGAAACCGAGGCACAGAGCCACTCTACGATTGGCCAAGGGCGTACAGCAAATAAATGCCAGAGCCAGGATTAGCGCCCAAGTCTTCGGAGTCCCAGTCCTGTACCCCTTTGCTGGCCCACTTGCCTTAGATCCTTTCTTCTACAGCCCTGTGCTGATGCTGTCCCCAGCTCACCCCTACGCAGGCTCACCTCTTGACAACGCCGGCCCATCTCCCCCTGGCACCCGCTCTGCTGCTTCTCCCTGGGACTAAACCCACGTCCCCGGCCCCTTCGCCGGGAGGGTTTGCTCGAGAAAGGCAGTTAAAGGCGCTGGCCCAGCCCTGAGCTAGTGAGAGTTCACGCCTGCTTTGAGATCACGCTAAAGCCCTCAACTCGCTCCCGGCCACACCCAACGACCAGGGTAGAGTCAGGAGCCGGCCTGCCATTGCCCTCAGCCCCTTGAAGCCAGGCTGGGCTGCTTGGAAAGTGACGAAGTTGGGACCAGACGGAGCGACCCGCCAGACACCAGCACGGCCCAACGCCGAGTCAAGCTCGCGTGTCTCACGCTCCGGGGAGGAGAAGAAAGCCGGGCAATGGGGCTAATGAGCAGCAGAAACACTGCCAAAGGGGAGTGCTTTGCATGAGGCATTGGCAAGTCACTGCGGCGCCTCTAAATCCTCTGGGCTGAGAGCCCCGGTAATCACAGCGCTGTAAAACACCAGCCGCTTCAGAGCAGCCAGGCCCAGGTCAGCACGTCGGCCACGGCCACGAGCAATGCTAGCTGCTCGAATCGCAGCCAAATGATACCAGCTGGAGCCCTTTATTAAACTCATGTCAGCCGCATCAGTGAGACAGGTAGCGGGCTGGGGGAGGCTCATTTACACGAGTGGATGGCTGGTGTTTGGGGGTGGGGCGCTTCTGAATGCTGGCTGGGCCTGTGCTGAAATTGTATGTACTGCGTGTAGGCATCGTAACATACCTGCAGCATGTCATGGATGTGTCTGCTCTGTGTGTAATATGCAAACGTGTGAACGTGAAACACAAACACCCCCCCCTCGTGTGTGTGTGCTCCACACATGCATGGAGGTGCCTATGAATTGTACATATGTGAAATACACATGTCACCTGTCATGTGTGCAATACACACCTGTGCATTATGCATCTGTTGTGTGACCAACACATGCATGTGTCATGGATGTGCATGCTGCGTGTGCATGATACGGATGCATCACCAGGTGCATACACGGGGTGGCTATAACATACATCACATTGTGTGCAATCAATATGCACACACTATGGGCCCAGCCCCAAACTCCTCGATGTCAGCGGGAGTTTGGCACGGACAAGGCCTGCAAGGCCTGGGGGTCATGGGTCTGTGACACTTGCAGGGCGGGGCAGGGGCGGCCTTTGCTGCATCTGCTCTGTGACTAAAAGAGTAGCTCATAATACCCTGCACGTGGACAGCAACTTCCAACCATGGCCCAGTGCGTCACACACAGTCATCAATTACCCCTCTCTACCCTCCCTGGCAGGGGATACGGTCCTGTACAACTCTCCCCACTTCACAAGAGGGCAAATTCAGCACAGTGAGGGCATCTTGACCAGGGTCAAACAAATCGGTATCAGAGGCCAGGGCTCCTGATGGCCATTCTCAGGCTCTGCCCATTAAACCATGCCGGCCCCCCCAGCTCCAGTCTGTTCCGAGCCTCACCTCACCCACCAGGCACATAGTGAGATTCCCAGACCAAAGCCATTCAGGCAGGTTATCGCTTTGGGTACACGTCGTGGCTGCGAGCCCCTGCAGCTCCCTGACCTGACCCGCCATGGCTCGAGCCCTCCGAACATGGGAGGATGTTGCAACTTCCAGCAGTTTGACTTCAGTGCGGAGAAACAAGGAAAGAGGGATTCCTCGTGTCCCAGGCCGTGGAAATTCCTTCTGCCCGTGCAGCAGAGCAGGGCGAGGGGACCAGCGAGAGTAAAGAGCGTGCTTGGAAAGGAGCCAGCTAATGAGCCCACCTGAACCCCGCTGGGACGTGGCCGCAAACTCTGCCTCCAGCTGCCTTTCCTACCTGCTGCGTGGGGGGGCCTGCTCCAGGAGCTGTTACCATCTCGCCGGCATGTCAGGCGCCATCAGGTCACCCTGCAGCTGACCCGGCCCAGCTCCCACGGATCAGGGAGAAACACCCTGTTGGAAACGTGGCTGTGTTTAAGCATTAACCCCTTCTCAGCCAAAGCCCTTGTCACCCGGCACAAGCCGCGCACCCCAGGCCCTAAAGGAATTGCCACGTGGGAGACCCAGAAAAAAAATCCACAGGGAAAGTAATCAAAGCGTCAGAAAAACTGGAACGATCAACCCGTTTACCGTCGTGTGCGCCTGTGCACTGGAGACAGACCACAGGTACGGGGCCGGATCCTCAGCTGGTGCAACGCAGCCAAGCACCTTTGACTTTAATGGAGGAATAATGCCGAGTCACTCCACTGAGAATCGGGACCCCAGGGACGGCACTTCTCTGTCTCTGCGGCACGTAGCTGTCAGGACGGCTTGTCCGCATGGGTCACAGACGGGTGGGTGTGCAGCGTGGGCTGGGGATCATACCCATGCTGAAGGGCAGAGTGTGTGTGGGGGGGTGCGCGGGAACGGGCTAAGCGTCTATGTTGTGTGTGTGTGTGTGTGTGTGTGTGTGTGTGTTCCCGTTAAGGGTCTATGGTGTGTGTGTGCGTATGTGCTAAGGGTCTATATTGTGTGTCTGTGTATGTGTGTGTGTGCTAAGGGTCTATGGTGTGTGTGTGTGTGCGTGTGCACACAGGCTCAGGCTCTCTGGTGTGTGTGTGTGTGTGTGTGTGTGTGTGTGCACAGGCTCAGGCTCTCTGGGGGTGTGTGTGTGCATACATCCATGTGCCCAGGGTCTCTCTGGGTGTGTGCGCACATGTAGCTGTGTACTCTGGTGACCATCTGGAAGCCACAGCGTTTATTCCTTTCACAGCCGCTCTGACATCATCTCTTTTCGGTCCCAGTCATGCCAAAATTCCTGCCATGTGGGAGGCTAATTCCAGCTCCTGCCATGGTTAGCAAGGCTGGGGAAACGTGTATTCTTTCCCCTTGCTGAGTCTCGCTACGTGCTTACTCGGAGCGTCTTCGGGTTCATTGGCCTCTCTTCTGACTATTGCTTAAAACCCTTGCTTCGTGCATCAATGGGAGACGTAACTTTTAGCCTTTGTGCTCATAGAGCTCCTCTCTTCCCCTGAGCTGAAAGTGCTCTAGCCAGTTGGGGAGGTATCATCACGCCCATTCTACAGAGCAGGAAACTGAGGCACAGAAAGGGGACATGCCTCTGATGCTGGCAGACCAGGTGCCAGTTCATGCCAAAGTCCCCCTGTCTCAACTGAACCCTGACTAACACCAAGCTGGGACCAGTCTGGCTCACCTGGGAGTCAGTATTGTTAAAATTGGTATTAGAATGATAAGGTTGTGTTTAGTGTGTAGATGCTAGTGAATGCTTGTGAGTTCCTGCCTGCATTCATCTCCCTGATAACCTCCCATATTGTAAGGTAAAATTTGAGAGGTTGTATTCTGAGCCTCTATGACTGTGTAATTGACGGGACAGGAGAGAGACATTAATTAGCCTGAAGGGCTGAGTGCCAACAGAAGTTGTTACATCCTTCCCCACAGGAAAGCTCCATCAACACCAGATAGACTGTTGTGGGTTGTTAAAGGGGACAAAAGCCATTTATTGTTCGCAGGGGCCTGCACCAGGGGCATGGCTCCCCACAGTATTCACCTAAAAATGTGTATTTCTGCTCCAGCCCTGGACCCAGGCTGCTCCAGCCCCGGACCCAGGCTGCTCCAGCCCCAGCTGCTGCTCGAACCCAGACTCAGCCCCAGCTGCTGCTCCAACCCTGGCTGCTGCTGCAGTCCCAGCCTCTGACCCAGCCCCGACTGCTGCTCCAGCCCCAGCGGCTGACCGCAGTTTGCTGCTCCAGTCCCTGGCCGCTGACCCAGCCCCCAGCCACTGCTTTAACATGCCCCTCCAAAAGTGTTCAAATTTAAATTCCTGCGCATGCCCCTGGTTGTTTGGTTCTCCCCCCAGTCCTCTTTGAAGAAGAGTCATGCAAGTGGATTCCTCCCATCAGCTGAATTTGCAGCTCAGAGCACATGACAGGAAGGGGTTAAAAACCCCAGACACAAGGAACTCGGTATCTCTATGCTGCTTGGACTCGGGGTGGGGGTTGGCAAGGTTCTTCCAGGCATAAGCAAGAGATCCCCAGCAGCTTAGCCTGGGTTAGCCCTAAAGGACATATAGAGTTTGCCAATTATAGAAGCTTCTATTGCCTTTTGAACCTTAAGATTGTAACTAATTTGTGTGTATACATTTACCTGCTTTAACCTTCTAAATAATGCTCTAATTTGCTTTCCGTAGTTAATAAATCTGTATGTAGTTTATTATAGGATTGGCTAGAGATGTCGTCTTTGGTGTGAGATCAAAGGTGCAATTGTCCTTTGGGACTGGTAGTAACCTGAATATTGCTCTGATATGTGATGTAAGGGACCGTCTAACACAAAGGGAGGCTCACTGTGGTGGCAAGATAACTCGGAGTACCCAAGGCGATTGTCTGTGACTCCATGTTACGGCTGTTATAATGCCGAATGGAGAAGTTTACACTTGGTATTTGGTTGGTGAACTCCAGGTGTAGAACTCCCAGCCAGTCTGTGGTTTAGTGCCTGGCTTCTTAACAGTCTGCCCTGAGGCTGGTACTCACACTCGAGTCATTGCCGGCAGCATTACATGGACTAGTCCAAAATCAGCAGCAGATCTGGGAACAGGAGCAGGGCCACCTCGTGGTGCTCACCCTCATGCTGATCCGACAGACCACAGCAGCTCCCGCTTGTTCGCTCTCCCCAGGACCAGTCTCTTGCAGCCTCCCAGGGAATGTTAAAGGTTCGAGAGCATAGAATCATAGAATATCAGGGTTGGAAGGGACCCCAGAAGGTCATCTAGTCCAACCCCCTGCTCAAAGCAGGACCAATTCCCAGTTAAAGCAGTTTTGTTTCATGCACTAATACCCTGTTTGCCACCCCAGGGCTTCAGCCCACCCTGCAGCTGAAATGACACAAAGAGCTGATGATATTACAGTGTCTGATGTTGGACGGACGCTGGCTCTGCCCAGAAGGAGGAACAGAGCCTTAGCACTAAGGAAGGTGACAGGGATAAGTATAGTACCTCGATACAATCAGACTTTATTTTTATAGTGTCTGTGTCTCAAATGCTTTGCCAAGTTAGAAAGTGCCTCAATGAGAGGAGAAGGACAGAGAGAGGAGAGGTCTTTTCAGCGGAAATCTGAGCTGACGCGTGGAGAGAGACACAGGGAGTCCGCTGCAGATCCCCGGTGCTGCAGAGGAGAAAGGCCTCACTCCAGCAGTGGGCACATTGTACACAGGGACAGCAACAGTGCCATGCTTGGTGATCCCCCGCAGTGACCTGACCTACTGGGGCACGATGGGAAAAGGAAAACACCAGCCTTCTGCCTGCCACTTTGGAAAGGAGGACCACTACTGTTACTCACTCCCTTCTCCACCTCCCTGGGGAGTCTGTACACCCTCTGCTCTCTCTCTGTGTCCTGGGCTGCCCATTGGCACACGATTCCCGCACGCAATTCCCTTGGGCTTTGGAGAAAGAACTTTGCATTAATTTTACAGAAAGAGAGAGAGAGAAAAGAAAACCCGAAAAGACAGGAGAGGTTAAAAAACCGCAATTCAAACCTGCCTGCCTGCGCCGTAGAGAGAGGCATGGATGGCTGTCCTCTGCCTTACGGACGGGATGGTGACGTGTTACCGAAACCTGCAGCGTGGGGTTAGCTTCTCTGTTCCCTGCACCTTGTCAGACCGGCGGTGAACCAGGTACCCAGGGTGTGGGGATCTGTTGCACATTACCTCTAAGGCTCTTCTCCTTCTGTGGGGCTTGGGAGGGTACCTGTCTCCACCCAGGATGGTTACTTCCAGGACAGAAAGCCACTCGCTAAGGAGACTGGATTTATTCCACATAGGAGATCTGTTTCTGCTGCTCCAGGCTCTTTTCTCAGGCCTCCATTCACAGGTATTGGGCAACAGTGTAAACAGAGGGGCCCAAGTAGCAAAATTAGATCTATGTTTAGATGAAACCCCTTGGAGTGGTTCGGGTCCAGCTCGTTATGGACACCAGGAACAGCCCCAAAATCTGGCTCCAAAACTGAACTGGCTTCTGGAATGTGTGCAGTCCAGGCGTGTGTGGGGCCTGCCCCTCGTTCTCTGCAAGTCCCCATCTCCAGCTGGCCCCTCTCACATACAGGTTTGCCTCCACGGGAGTGTTGTGGGTTTCCGCCAGGGGAGCTCCCCTGTGGCTCAGTCCCTCGGTCGGGGTGTCGGAGCCTTAGGCATCACCGTAGCACGAATACGCACGGGGCACCTGAATGAACAGGGCACTTTGCATCCCTAGCTCACCACGTGCTTTGCAAAGGAGAGGTCGTTTCCTCGCGCCTTTCACACGTGAAGGTCAGTGAGCAGACAGGACTTGCACAAGCCCAGGGCAGAACCAGCAAAACTCCACGGACACCAATGAAATTTGACCTCTGAGAGGAGACCAGGCTAATGATTGCAGCAGCACTGCTGCCCTCCCCCACCCCCCCCCAGGGCACTGGCTCTGGACTGTTGCCCATCGAAGTGCTAACTCAATCTGACCTGGTTTATCCCGTGAGGGCAGTCATGCTCCCAGCCCAGCTTCTTTGAACTGCGGGCTGCACTGGGAGTCCCGAGGGAGGGAATATTACTCAGCAGCAAGGAGATTTCGGATTCTCCCTGGTGGCTCTCATAGAATCAGAGAATATCAGGGTTGGAAGGGACCTCAGGAGGTCATCTAGTCCAACCCCCTGCTCAAAAAAGGACCAATCCCCAACTAAATCATCCCAGCCAGGGCTTTGTCAAGCCTGACCTTAAAAACTTCTAAGGAAGGAGATTCCATCACCTCCCTAGGTAACCCATTCCAGTGCTTCATCACCCTCCTAGTGAAAAAGTTTTTCCTAATATCCAACCTAAACCTCCCCCACTGCAACTTGAGACCATTACTCCTTGTTCTGT